TTTTGTTTGGGAGAAAATTGGAGATTAAAAATAGTCTTCTGAAAATATCAAAAAGAAGAAGGATCATTTTGTGAAAAGTGAATATCTGAACCAAGGATATTATCGATATTTGGAGAAGGGTTTTAATTTTAAAACCCAAAAAGGGGTGATTTGACGGCTCTGCGTCGCTGCTCTGGCTGTCATCACAGCCTTATAGGAAGTGGTGTTTCAGAGGACATTGAATACATAACTCGAACAGGTCACTCGTCTTCCTCATTTCACGTGATTTCATACTTCGCTGAGTACAGTGGTGAGGGTTATCCTTACTCTTCTTCCTACAATTTTCTCTTGGAGAGAACAATGGTGCGAACTCGCTTCGGAAAGGAAACAGGGTCAGGAAGTACAGTTGCTCGAGGACGTGGTCGTGGAAGAAACAGAGGTCGTGGGCGCCGTGGTGGACGAATCAGTTCTTCTCCACCTCCCAGCGAACCAGTTAGTGAGATTCCAACTCAACCTGAAGCAAGCGAGGAAGTTCAGGCTGTGGTCACTGACAGTGTGACTCCGCCCTCTCCTAGGGATCACATTGCTGATGCTGAGGAACTTGTGCAGAAAACCCTTGATGAAACTCAAAATGATAGTCCTGAGGATGATATTCCTGGAGATCAAGCGACTGATCATGCTGAAAAAGAGGACGATAGGAAGGAACAAGAGGTTGGTGAAGCTGATCCTAGAAATGTTGCGGAAGACACCATGATACACTCCGAGGGAGCCCCTGAATCTGAACATCAGAGGATCGAAAAGGGTACTTCACCCCTTCATCCTGAGGAACGAGCGGTTACTCATGAAGGTGCAACTGCTGAACTCTCTTTGTCTCTTTCTGATGAAAGTCTCAACACAATCATAGATAGAACTGTTGACAAACTTTTTTCTGAACGAATGGAGCATGAAAATACTGTGGTGATGCCTGCACCGGTTGAACCAGAAACCAAGTCTGACGACTCGGACAATGCCCCTCTTGCCACTCTGAGAAAACGCCACTCTGGAAAACAAAAGAAGAAAAGGAAGATTTCTGATGACTTCTCTGGTCCTTCAAAGAAAAGAAAGAAGGTAGTGATTGCCAAGATGAAACTGAAGCAAAAGAAGTCAAAATCTCGAAAAAGGAAAGCTACACTTCCCCCAGTCTCGGCTGAACAAGCAATGGACGTTACACATTTCGACGATGGAGCAGAGTTGTTCGAATACGATATCTTAGCCAATCGGAAATTTGTTCCTGAGGCCCGTTTTACCGACCCCCTTCACAAAGATGTTGGGTTCCTCGCTTTCTTGAGGATGAAAGGATTGCGACGTTGGGCAGTTTGTCTCAAATCCTATTGCCCGAAGCTTGTCCGGGAGTTCTATGCCAATCTCACACGAGACGTACTGGAAGAGGAAAGTCCTTGGTTTCACAGGGCTTATGTACGGGGAAAGATGATTGAACTCAGTCCTCAAGTAATCAACAAGTTACTACATCTTCCGTCTGATAATCCTGAAGTGTATCCGTCTACCTTGATCAAAGAATCCCGAAGAGAAGTGGCACTTCGACTATCTGCATGGAAATCAGATGACTTTGGACGAGCTGGCCTGGGTGCAACTGAACTGACTATGAAATATCAGTGTCTGTTTCGATTTTGTGCAATGAATGTTTTTCCCACCAGTAATGGGACTAACATTGGATATGAGATGGGTAAGTTACTTCTCTGCATTGACAAACTTTGTGCTGACATCAATTTCGGCTTTGTTGTCATCTCCAGAATGATGAAGTATGCCCGCGGCAAGTCATTTGACAAAACGAACCTCCCATATCCGGCCCTCATTACACTGTTACTGAAGCAGAATGGGATCCTTCCTGATCCCACTGAAGATTCCATTCAAACAACATTTTTCAAGCCTCGGTCGAACTTGCACAAGCTTTTCAACGACTTTAAGGAACCTCTCCCAGCCGATCCGTCCGGTCAGCTCTTGGAAGCCCGAAGGATACTTCTTGAAGTTTTGCAGGGACAAGCTTCTATTCACTCCACCTTAGCTGAACATAGGAAGAAAATCATTCGTGCTCTACATCTTCATCCTCGGTTTGCCTCCGGTCCGGATGAGGAGGAGGAACTCCCTGACTTCCTATAAGCATCCCAGCCTTTTTTGGCATCTGTCCACGCACGGGGGAGAGATGCAGGAGAGAGGGGGGATTGCTGCTGCATTACTGGAAGGAATGGGATCATCGGATCATCAAGAAAGGGGGAGCTCTGTTTGAACTGTGTTTGTAGCATCACTGTGTCATGACTTCTTAACTTCTGCCTGTTGCTGTTTTAGACTCTTGTTTTGCTGTTCTTGGACTTTAATTTCTGTAAAGGCTGCATGTAGCCTTCTCTGGATTGATGGCATGTAAACCTAACCTTAACTTGCTCTTAATTTGGGTTAATCTACATGTGTGGGAGATTATCTCCTGCATTGTGTGTGTGGTCACATATGCCAAAAAGGGGGAGATTGTTAAGATAATCTCAATTCCTCTACATCTATTTTTGGCATAGTGACAAAAACACTTTTTGCTTCTGTGGTCGTTGGCTTTCAAAAACAGCAACTCTGGATCTGCTGATTAAGTCCAATCATGCAGCCCTTGTGTCCCCTCTCGTTGGTGGCTGCTCAAAGACAAATTGGACATTTCGAATTTGTCTTCTTGTGATCAGAACTGATTTGATACAACATCATTCCTTGGTTAGAACAAAGGGAATTTAATGCATGTCATTTCATGGCTGCTGTGGTTGTATGTTTCGTTGTATTAGAGTTTTGGGAAGTGGTGAGAGTGATCTTAGAGAGATTGGGTAGTAAGATAATTATTGTGGTTATCCTCTCAACAACTTCCCTTCCACCTCCATGCATTAAGTAAGTGATTTTCATTGTATTTCTGTTGGAGAAGCTTGGAGATCAAAGGAAGACTGGAGTTCTGATCAGGGGAGCATTCGAACTCTGTGCAGCCCAGCTATGACGGTTGTTAGTACGAGTTTGTAACAACTGAACCTTGAAGGGTAATTAATTCGTAGCGTGGGTTGGTGGAGGTTTGAGTGTTTTGTTATTAATCAGCACTGATTAATGAACACCTCCTGGATTGGTATCCCCCGGATGTAGGATGGTTTATATCCGAACCGGGTAAACAAATAGCATCTCATTTATTGCTTTGAAATACTTTCATTTACTTCATCGACAAGTGGATGTCATAACTGTGATATAACTACGCTTCGGGAGGTTGGCCCATTTGGATTTGTGTACGAGGATTTATTGGAGGTGCACTCATTTCCATCCCAACAATTATAACAATTTCATCACTTATTTTAAGTCACTCGATAATAGAATTGTTCATTCACACATCTATTCTATTACATATTAATATTTTAAAAATATAGGTACAAAATTAAACTGATGCATTGATTTGGGAGAGGGATTATATTATTGGTAGCACATTAGATTCTGCTTTTTACTACAAAATAACACTAGTATTTATAATAAAGATATTATATAAAGATTTACATATTTAAATAAATAATTGACTATCAAATTTTATTACAATCGAATAGACATAACTTGACAAAATGAAATCCTTATTGCGAAAATTCAATTAAAGGCATATTCCACACGTATAGTCGGGATTGTTATTACTTAACACCTCTTATAATTATAACAATAGCAAGGCGGGTGAGGAAATCCCCTGTCGGTAACACAATGTCCTTCTTCCCACCTATCTTTCTTACAAGCCGCGTCGCATGGCGCCGGGACACATTCTCCCTTGTAAAGCTCGCTCCGCTTCCAGCACACGGCTACACTCATTTTCATCGTCGTCATTTCTCCTGCCAAACAAACAAACAATTGCATTATTTTCTTACGGGACATATTATATACGTAACGAAATACTTTTTATTATTCAAATTATTACGTTTAATATACATATATATATATATAACATTAAAATACTTCCTAATTATATGTGTTAATGTGAAGAAAAAAATATATATGCAGCGAAGAAGTAGAAGAAGGCATACCACAAAACAAGACAAGGAGAAAAAATAAGACAAGATTTTGCAGCCATAAAAAATTAATAATATTATATCGAGATTACAGTTGTAAGAAAACAATGAATATGTTATGTCCCTCTGCCCTATATTTTATAGCTAAAGTTAAAATTTATTTCACTGTAATATATTCTTGTAATATTATTATATAGCATTGTAATTATACGATGCTTTTTGTTATTACTAGTATTTTGTAATAATATGATGCATTGGAACAGTAGCACAATAAAATGCATTGTAAATTATTACTAGTATTTTGTAATAATATGATACATTGTAATAATAGCATTTTTGTCCCTTTTGTTAATAATAGCATTTTAATAATATGATGCATTGTAATAGTAGTATAATATAATTATTTTAAAATTATTTGCATATTATATAAAAAAAGTTTAAATTAATTTTTTCGGAAGTATTTTTGCTTCATAGAAGTTGCCCAAAGCGATATCGGCAAAGCTTATGAACTAGAGTTCGTTGGTACCTATCGACCTTAACCGTTTCAGATACCTCACGGAGTATTGTCACGGTTAATTATTGGCCATTAATACACAATGGATGGTCATAGGTTCCATTCTGCGAGGCCATCTGCCAGCTGATAAGCAATTTAAGTGTGTATTAGACAGCTGATTTCACGATCTTCCTCGCCAAAAATGTAAATTTTGAACACGACCTAATTTGTTCGGTCAGCCAGCTGCTGACTATCCAAATAGTGCCATGTTGATACATATCATACACCACGTCGGATTCCGAGATGATATACCATCTCAAAATCCTAAACAGGACGAATACCCAATACAAATATCATAGATATGATACCATATTCGTAAAATTTCCAAAGTTTCAATTTAAAAAACCAATTGATGTTACGTGGTGTGGTGTAGCCTTTCACCCTTATAAAGAGAGAAAGTTCCCACAACTAAACTAAACTAAGCTAAACGGACGGATATTCGTTCCTTCAATAACAACGGTGAAGCTCAAAAACAACACACTGGCACGAAAGATAGTTTCCGTGTTGAATGAATCATCACCAAATTACAGTGCGGTTAATGTCAAACAGACTGTTTATTTTCTACAACAATCTTGAACACAACAGCATCCATTTGCCATCACATCCCTCTCTCTATATATATGAACCATTCGAAAAACAAAAACATCGCAAGGATGCATACAGCATTCGGATGACTTCTCGTTGAAAGACAAGAGATCTAGAGAGGAGTCAGACCAACGACACCTGCAAATACAAAGGAGATTCTAGCAGTGTTAGGAAAAGCTAATCCCGTGATTGAATAAGAGGGCAAAAGATGTGCCCGTCGTTATAAGTTACACAAGCTAGCGGCCAGATGTTAGCATTTATTGAAAAGGTTTTAAAGTTCAGAAAACATTCTTTATGTGAGGAGTGAGAAAACATTTTGCCATTTCAATTGAATAATAGAAACTTTACTTTTATAATGATTATAAATCTCAAAACTAGGGAACCTAATCCTAACATCAATAACCTGTTATGATTCTTGACACTCGATTTTATTGCATGTATGATCATTCCAAGAGTGCTGCTATCTTATTTAGAGGAAAGTTCATTCTACATGAAAACCCAATAATGAAATAATAAGATGAAACAGATAGTGAAAGGAGCAACAAGCTATCATAAGATAGGTGATAGGTGTGGTGATGGTCACTATTGTGCATATAAGAATTCAATAATCATAGATATATGTTTAGCGGTGTTTAATGCTATCGAACAAGTAGCTTTTGTTTAGGTTCACTAGAGCTGTAAGAATCGTCAACAATCAACAATTTCTTCTCTCAATAAATCTTTTGTTCACTAGAGCCTAGAGAGAATCAAGATTGGAACAATAAACTTAAAATATCCCATTTCAGTTCTAGAAGGGAAATAGTGAATGTCTGGCTAAACTTGAAGTTGAAAGGATACAAAATTTTCCACAAAAATAACATGTGCGAAACTGATTCCAGCAAATACAAGATCAATGCATTAAGAATTACAGAGCATAGAACATAATTTTCAAAGGATAAATAAAGGGGGGAAAATGTTGCAGTGCGTAATATAAATTGCATACCACAAGCCAAACGGCCCCCTGCATTTCCAGTGCTAAGACTGAGCTCATGACCACCTACATTGTCAAACATGTAGATCCAATATGAGCAAGACTAAGCAACAGGTGTCGTTGATAAGAACTAAAACAACAAAAGAATGTATATCTTTACCCTTTCCAAGATCATCTTCAAGTTCATGAACCACAAAAGCTCTTCCAACAACAGAGTTAGGACCGCTTAATGGTATCTGCACAATTTTTTATTACAAAGATCCTAACATCATCAATGGCGAATGAAACTAACAAGTCTGTGTATAGCCAAAACAAGCAATACTTGATCACAAGTGGTACATAAGCATACAAAATATTACCTGACTGTCGACAATTGTTGCTTCAGCCACACCTGTGTCAAATGCACAATGCTTTCAAGTTTTAACTAAAATCAAAATGGAGAAACATTGCAAGTAACGATGAAATTCTTTTAAGCGTCCAAAGAACTACCATCAGCATTAGCAACTATGTTTCCCAGGTCACCCGCATGACGAACTTCATCCTCGGGAGCTCCATGTGTCAGACCATTCGGATTAAAATGTGGTCCTACAAGAAACAAAGTAAGGGTTTCAAAAGGTTCAAAAACAAATCAGCATTCAACTCACCCAACATTGAAACGCAGTTAAATCCAAACCTGTGGATATGCATCCATTTGTAGTGTCACCAAACTCATGCTACAAATTACCCAAAAGAAACAAAGTTTAGAACCAATTATAGGCTTTAGCTCACGAAATTAACTAAACAGAGGTTAATTCACATATCTTCAAATTCTACAGAAATTCTGACCAGATGAAAGCCGTGCTTCCCTGGAGTAAGTCCAGTTACTCGAACACTCACTGTGGTCGGACCTAGAACACGAAAACATATCGGACAAAGTAAAGAAGATGAATCGATTTGCAAATACACCTCAGAAGTTTATCCATAAATGAAAGCATTACGCTGAGCCAGAAACCCTAGGAATCCAAATTAAAACGAAGTTCACCACGCATCTCTAAACTAACGATTAAATTCTATAACGTCGAAAAAAATTCAGGATTTCTCCTGACCTCGAAGACTTGAAATAGAAAAGAAAGGAACACACCGTCGCCGTCCTGCGTTAGAGTGACAACACCTTCGACGTCCGATGTGCCTTTGAGCACGGCGACGGCCTTTTTGGCTGCAGCTACAATAGTTAGGCGATTTGGTGTGGGGGCTGAGACGGATAAGAATGAAGGAGCAGTGGCTTTCAGTGCGACCCCATGGAAGCAGGAATTGAGCCGAATCGATGAATTGCGTGAGGAATCAAGGGAAGCAGAGCAGGTAGAGATGGGCGGAAAGAGGGAGCGGTGGACCGCCGGAGCGGCGGCGGAGACGAGGGTGTGCGCCGCCAAGGCCGACTGCATCTTCAACTTCAAGGATTGGAACAGAGGGATTGGAGCTGATGAGTGGCTTGTATTGTATTGTATTGTATTGTGGGATAGATGGACGGATTGCGAGGTTTTAATTCCACGGTAACAGTATAAGTGAAAATCGGGTGCTTGTATTAGTTTTATTTTAATTGAACAAATTATTTTATAAAAAATAATAAGCCCTTCCACCCATCCACGACTAGTTATCCGTTTGTTTTTGTACAAATTTTAAAAATGTTGGTATTAACTTTATTAGTACAGTGTAATATAATGACAATGATATTTATCTAATATATTATAAATTAGAAGGGTATCTGTAATATTAAGTATATAATACAATTATAAAAAAGATAAAAATAATATTTTATTATGAAACGAACTAATACGAAAAAATTGATAGTTTGTTAACATTTCTTTTTTTACGAAATAATTTTTAATGTGTGGTGTGTGTCAAAATATAAATACTAGTATTATTTTAAATTGGATATTTAATTTTTCGTAATAACATTTTTTATTTCTTATAATAAGTATTTAGACTTTTTAATTTTGTATAAAAATTTTATATTATCTCTTTTATAATTATTTATTTACTTTTTACATGAAGTTTTAAGAATATTAGTATTATATTATAATATAGTAGAAATAAAGATTAAAAAAAATAAACTATCCTTATCCTTAGTAATATTATATGATTATAAATATAATAATATTTATGTTATATATTTATATTATATAAATTTCATTATCTACAAAATAATATATATCGCATATTTTATTGGGATACAATACTAAAAATATTTAAATACATACTATAAATTTTTTTAATTATATATAATAATTTATATTTTCAAAATACCAACTAAATTATTCATATAAAAAATAATAAAATAATAGCATAATTTATTATAATAATTTATTAAATTACACTATATAAATAATTGTACCAATAATAAATGAGTATCTGTTCAAATTTGTGCTTCTGTTTATATGAGATTTTTTCGAATTTTTGACAATATAATAATTAAAAGATATTACAGTAAATATAATTTTTTAACAAAAATATAATACTTCTTCCGTTTCATAATTAAATATTCATTTAGTTTTTGCAACGTAGTTTTAGAAATATTAGTATTATATTTTGATGTAGTAAAAATAAAATAGAAATGACTAAAATAACCTTATTAGTACGTCTGATATAAGGTAATGACATTTGTGTAACATATTGTAAGTTGTAAAGTATTTGTAATGTTAAGTAGATAGTATATTTACTAAAAAAAAATGAAATGAATACTTTGTTATGGGACATATTAAAATGAAAAAATGGATATTTTGTTATGGGACGGAGGGAGGGAGTATTACATTAAATACTTTCAATTCTTTTGTAAATTTTTTACTATTATTATATAAAAAAATTGAATCAAATACTTATTTATTATGTTTTAAATTATACTAAAATTAAATATAATGTTATTGTAAAATATTAAATAAAAAAACATATGATTTGAATTTTGGTAAAAACACGAAAAACAATAGTATTATTCAGTTCATACTTGTCTTCATACAAAAAGTCTAGCTACGGACTCAATTCGTTTAGCATTATTTGTAGAATCATGGCATTGTTGCAATGCAATAATCATATTCGTATTTTATTTATTTTCTAAAATTATTTTGTGTTAAATTAAAAGACATACAAAATATTCTCTTCATTAAAAAGTGATATTTTGTTGTAAAGACAGATTCAATTATACAAGGTTATACAAATAAATAAAAAAAAAAAAAACAATTATTTTAATAAAATAAAAAATAAATAATTGATCAATTCTTATTTTATAATTTGTTTTACAAATCAGATAACATATCATCTATTAAAAAATTATAAAATAAAATATTGATAATTTATTTGTTTATAATTAAAAAATTATTAAATATATTTTATTATTACTTTTATAAAACTTGTATAATTAACTTTGTATTTACAGTCAAATATCAATTTTGGACAAATGAGTATGAGTGGATGAGCCCAGTGATGGTCAAGTGGCTAGCCATATTCATTCGGATTAGATGGTTTTTGGGCCCAACCAATCGTATGGTTGGCCCTTTGAATGCTTCTTCATCCGAATTTGAACCTTGGGGCGATTGTTTACAACGGTAACTAACAAAAAAGCAGTTTTCGGACGGTTCGAATCGATAACGGATGAGGAAGCAGTTTTAGACGGTTTGGATAGATAACCAACAAGGAAGCAGTTTCGGACGGTTCGGATCGGTAACCGACGCAGAAGTAGTTTTTGAACGGTTTGTAACCGACGTGGAAGCAGTTTTTTTACGGTTCAAAAGTGACCAACGTGAAGCAGTTTTTTTACAGTTCAAAAGTGACCAACATGGAAACACTTTTTTTTACAATTCAAAGGTAACTGGAGTGAAAGCAATTTTTTAACAGTTCAAATTTTTGGGCGATTCAAATGTAACTGACGTGAAGGCAGTTTTTTGTTAGTTCAAAGGTAACCGACGTTGAAGCGATTTTTTCTGGAGGTTCAAAGGTAATCGACGTGGAAGCGGTTTTGAACGGTTTAATTTGATACGTATATAAGCAGCCTTAGCGAGAAAGCATGAGCATCTTCAATCGACATCAATTTTAGAGAAATTTTCATTGGGGATCATCATTTTTAGTTTTTCAACTTTCTTTTTTCTTTTCTTTAGCAATATTATGTACCCTATATCTAGGGATCCGTGATCCCAGACACTCTTCACTCAAGTTCGAAGTATATTTTCGAATTTTATTTTTTATTGTTGAATTTTTACCACCAACACCAATAAATAAAATACAAAGTATTATTTGTAATTTTACTAAAATACATGAAATGTTATATAATTTATCCTTATTATATTTTAAAATAAACCCTAAAAAAATCAAAGTACACTTGACCCATTGAGTATTAGATTTTGGATATGTTTGATTTAACTTGTGTTTAAATATTAGTTGAATTGACATTTTTGTAAGATGAAAAAATTACTAATATATTTTCATAGAAATTGTAGTATTAATTATATTAAAAAAATTAAAGAAAATATCTATAATTTTTTAAAGTTTCAATACAATTTTATCTGACTGTAAAAATAAAGTAAAATAAGAGAAAATATCATACTAAAAGATATATACAATATTGTGGATAAAAAATTGTGTTATTTTTAATAAACACAAAATTTGTACAAATTATATTTGATTTGAATTTAAAGTGGGTCCTATTCTCTAAATGGGTCCTTTGATTCTCCTTTCGGGTCGATTTATTTTTCAACTTGGTTTTCGATGGCTTCTTTGATCCGAAGAGGTTTGGTCTTCAGTTTGACTTTGCCGGCTTTTGGAGGGTTTTGGTCTCCGTGCGGGCGATTTGATCGTCAGCTATGAATTTGATGTCTTTTTTTTTAGACGATCCGAGGCTTTGATCTTTGATTTGGCTTTGCCGCTTTTGGAGGACTTTGGTCTCCGTGTTGGCGATTTGATCATCATCTTTGGACGATCCGCGACTTTGACATTTGTTTTGGTTTTGTCGCTTTTGGAGGACTTTGGTCTCCGTATTGGCGATTTGATCATCGTCTTTGGATTTGTTGTCTTCTTTAGACGATCCACGACTTTGATCTTTGGTTTTCCTTTTCCGCCTTTTGGAGAGCTTCGGTCTCCGTGTTGGCGATTTGATAATCGTATTTGGATTTGTTGTTTTCTTTGGACGATCCGCGACTTTGACATTTGTTTTGGCTTTACTGCCTTTTGGAGAGCTTCGGTCTCCGTGTGGGCGATTCGATTGTCGGCTTTGGATTTGATGTCTTCTTTAGACGATCCGCAACTTTGATCTTTAGTTTGCCTTTTCCACCTTTTGGAGAGCTTCGGTCTCCCTGTAGGCGATTTGATCCTCAGCTTTGGATTTGATGTCTTCTTTGGACGATCTGCAGCTTTGATCTTTAATTTGTCTTTGCCGATTTCGGAGGGCTTTGGTCTCCGTGCGGGCGATTTGATCGTCGACTTGGATTTGATGTCTTTTTTAGACGATCCGAGGCTTTGATCTTTGGTTTGCCTTTTCCGCCTTTTGGAGAGCTTCGGTCTTCGTGTGAGCGATTTGATCCTCAGCTTTGGATTTGATGTCTTCTTTGGACGATCCACAGCTTTGATCTTTGATTTGCCTTTTCCACCTTTTGGAGAGCTTCGGTCTCCGTGTGGGCGATTTGATCCTCAGCTTTGGATTTGATGTCTTCTTTGGACGATCCGCAGCTTTGACCTTTGCTTTGGTTTTGCCGCTTTTTGAGGATTTTGGTCTCCGTGTAGGCGATTTGATCATCGGCTTTGGATTTGGTGTTTTCTTGGAACGATCCGCAGCTTTGATCTTTGAGGATGTGGATTTAGTGCTCCATAACGCTTTTGGCAGCATGTCCCTTTGACTTTTTGGATCGAAGAGGGCCTAGTTGATGCTTTGTTGAAGAACGGATGAACATCTTGAAGCTTTAAGAGGAACTTTGAAGACCTTCCCTTGGCTTTGACATACGACGAAGAACGTTAACTTCATCGATTCGTCAACCAATATTGAATCATTTGTCCAAATCGGTGACTTTTCGACGAAGAACGCTTCGAATTACACGAAGAACAATGAAGAACATGCAGAGAGTCTAGAGAGACATACCCTTGCGCGAGTCTTCAAATGAACTTCGGTGTGTCAAATAAACTGACCATGACTCCTATTTATAGGGGATGTGTGGTCTTGGCTTCATTTTCGGATGGTGCCACGTGTATGGAAAGATTTTATAATCTTTCTTTTTCCATCAGATGTTGTTTTCCATTCTTGACGGATTTGATTGTGTACCTTCATTTCTCGCCAAAATCTTTATATCATTGCCTTTTTTGGAAGATATTAATTTATATACTTCCTTTATTAACAAGATCTTCATATCATTGCCTTGTTTGGAAGATATTAATTTATATATTTCCTTTATTGACAAGATTAATTTATTTTGCTGCCAAATTTATTATGACTCTATTTATGCACGTAATATTTGTACGATATCTTCCATTTTAAGCATATTTTGCATTAATGGTTGATATTTATTATACAAAAAATAATATATGTGCATAATTAAATACCATATATTTATTTTATTGGAATTTTATTTTCTCCCAAAATATATGATATCTAATTGATTTTAGACATATATTTTTAGTGTCTACAAATATGTTCGGTAATTTATGAATGAAAATTGAATGACTATTAAAATATAAAGTATCATTGAAAATTATTTGGGGGTTTGGATTTTGAGTTGGGATTTGAATAGTAAAAATTTTGAATTTGAATAGTTGTATGATGTGATATAAATAGGGGTTGATGTGATGTTTTGAATGTAAAATTAATTTTTAGTATAATATAAAAAATGAAAAATAAGTGTTTGATTTGATGTTTTTGGAGGGAAAAAATTAGATGAATAGTAAGAATTTTGCAAAATCTTGCAAACGAACACACCCTCAGTGAATTATGTAAGAAAGAATAAAACATCACATTTGTTGTGAGTATTAGAATTTGGATGCGTTTAGTTTAATTTGTGTTTAAATATTAGTTTAATTGAGATTTTTGTAAGGCTAAAGAATTAACATGTTTTTATAAAAAAACAATATGAATTATATATTACAATTTTTTTAAATTTCAGTATAATATTTTTTTTAAAAATATTTGATCTTTTGACTTTTGATATTATGTCAGTATTACTATATATATATATGATGTATGTATTATATTATTTTATAATATTAATCCAGTATTGCTAGAAAATTTAGTGTAGGGTGGTGAATACATCCTAAATTTGTAATTTTTAGAATTTGGTTTTTTTATAATTCAAATCAAAATAACACTATTATATCATGTATAATTTTTAATAAATATATATTAGTTTTTTTTTTTTTTTTTTATAAAGTACCAAAGCCATTATTTCAATCAAAAATTCAAATTACCATTTCAATTTCAAATCAAAACTAAACAAACCTCAAATAAAAATAGGAAATAACACATAAATGTGAGGATTTCAACCTTATTATCCATAAAAAAAAATAATAATAATAAAATAAAAAAATTCAACCTTAGTAATAAAAAATATATATGCATGGTTCTTACCTCATATAATTTCGCTCTAATGATTCACCACGTGTTACCTAACCACGCAATTTGCTACTTAATAAACCTATTAATATTATTAACCAATTAATTACCTCTTAATTTTTATTTGTAAAAGTACACCAACGCTATTAAAACTAAATTTGCAAACCGGTAGTTCCAACCACCCCAAAAAGAATATGCTTTTAAATGCTAATAAAATAAATATTAATAAATAAACATCATATAAAATTTGTTTTGATAAAAAAATAAAAAAATAAAAAAATCAAATATTCTCAATAATCCGCCATTTTGGCCTCAATCATTCAAAAGCACATATTTTATATTTGAAATATAGTTTAATTTTAGTCATGATGCTTAGGTGGTGGTTTAGGTCAAAAGGAATCATTTCCTTTCTATTCGATAATTAATGCTCCCTAGTTTCACAAAATTTGTATATAATTAGGTGTATTAATAAAATAATTATAATATAATAAAAATAGTTATAGATTAAAATTAATATGATTAAATAATTAAATTTAAAATTTAAAATTTAAAATTATGAAATTTAAAATATGATAAAGTGTATAATTATATTTTAAAAAAAATAACAATTATATAAAACATATGAAAATAAAAAATATTATTCCCTCTGTCCCACCTACTATGTTCACGTTGCCGTTTCTGTCCGTCCTACTATCTATGTCACTTTCTTTTTTTGAAAAATAATTACACACTTTAATATCATTTTAAACTTTTAAATTTATTTTTTTTAAATTTTAATTAAACTAATTAGTTATCTTAATTTTAATTTATAATTATTTATATTATATGATAATTATTTTCACTAATACATTCTTAATTATTTACTAATTACACAATTTCTAAAATACAGTGTCTACCGTGCAACAGACACACTATATGAGACAGAGAAAGTAATATTTTATATAGCGGATGAAATAATTACGAACGAATTTAAAATTTCATTTCACTTGGGCTCTCTCTACGGAGATAATACCAAAATTTCTGTATTATTTGTAGACAATTTTTGTTATTATTATTTTTTAATATCAAATCAAATATATATATATATATTCATAAAACACTATATAATTATGATTTTTTTATGATATAGGTACTGATTTTGGAGTATTTTAGATAGGTCATCCATTAAATTTAATAATATATAAATTAAATTGATAGAATAAATTACACTAAACGAACTATATGAGATAAATATTCTAAGCGTGTGTATATATATGTATATTTTTTTTTTTTCAATTTTGTCTGTAACAACAAAGTATGCGTTTCTTTTTCTATAAAAGTAACTACACTTCATGTAATAAATATTTTAAAACTAATACTTATTTATATTTATAATATTAAATCAAATTAAAACCAAAAAATAAAAATACAAATCCTTACATACAAAATAGAAACAAGTATCATTTAAATACTGTTAGTATTTCTTAGTTTAAAGAATATATATATATATATATGTAGATATATAAATATTATATACTCAATTTTTTATTATTTATTAAAAATAAATTCAAAAATTCCGAAACTTTTGTTTATTGGGGTCGCCATTTCTAGAGCACTCCAAAGCCACCATAAATAATTGGCGCCAGATAATCACGGCCGCTCCTCCAGCCAGTCACATCATACAGATCATATGACGTGTACTGCCACCTGTAACTTCATTATTGGACGACTTTACCGGCAACCGGCTAACCAGTCTCCCCTTCACTCCCTAAACCCTACCTTATTCTCTTCGATATAAACACTCCCAATCGTCCCACTGTTTGCCACATTTTTCAAATTTTGATAATTATCCAAACTCTCCGACGATGTCCGGCCCCAACCAGTACTTCAACGTCCCCTTCCGCCGCCTCGCCATCGGCAACGCCGACGAGTTCCGGCAGGCCGGCGCCGTCAAGGCGGCGGTGGCGGAGTTCATCAGCACCCTGATTTTCGTCTTCGCCGGATCGGGATCCAGCTTGGCCTACCACAAGATCACCGGCGGCGACCCCACATCCCCCGCCGGCCTCGTCGCGGCGGCCCTGGCTTACGGCCTCGCCCTCTTCGTCGCCGTCTCCGTAGCCGCCAACATCTCCGGCGGCCACGTCAACCCCGCCGTGACTTTCGGCCTCTTCGTCGGAGGAAATATTACTCTCTTCCGCGGCCTTCTTTACATCATCGCTCAGCTCCTCGGCTCCGTCGTCGCCTGCCTCCTCCTCCTCTTCACCACCGGCGGACTGGTAATTAATTAATTAGTTATTTATTTATTAATTTATTTGATAACTGAATTATGTGGTGGGGCGTGTGCAGAACGCGCCGGCGTTCACAGTGTCGGGGGTGTCAGTGTGGAGCGCGTTGGTGTTCGAAATCGTGATGACGTTCGGGCTGGTGTACACCGTCTACGCCACCGCCGTCGACCCGAAGAAGGGCGAGATCGGAATAATTGCGCCGCTGGCGATCGGATTAATCGTCGGCGGGAACATTCTGGCCGGCGGTCCATTCACCGGCGCGTCGATGAACCCGGCGGTGTCGTTCGGGCCGGCTCTGATCAGCTTCTCCTGGACCTACCAATGGATCTACTGGCTCGGGCCGTTTATCGGCGCCGCCATCGCCGCCGCCGTGTACGAGATCTTCTTCATCAGCCACAGCCACGAGGCGGTTCCCGGCAGCGAATTCTAAAATGATTGAACCCTTCTGCGCTTTGATGTATTTCCTTGTTTTCATTTTATTATGTAAATCGTGTTTTCATTTTTAGTTTTTGGTGGTTCGACGCTTTTGTGGATTTGCACACTCAATGGATGGAACTGTACGGTGTGTCACTGTAGGCCAGCGCTGCCTTAATCCTTATCTTGGTAAATAAACAAAAGTAATTTTTACTTTTTCTTTACATCTTCTTCAGTCCTATTATTACTTTATTTTTCACAGTATTTACAATAAAAATATTTTAACTTTTGTTCTAATATATATATTTTTATATATTATTTTATTTCATTTTTTATATTTATAAATTACTTTCAATTTTAAATTATTTTTATATTATCACCTAACTTTATGAAAAATATATAAAATAATTATTTTCAAAACAAAAAAATTAATACACTATTTTCATAAAAAAATAATAATATTACACACACCATAAAAAATAACAAAATTACAAAAAAAATCAACTAAAAAATAGAGTAAAATTACAGTGCTAGTCAATAAATAGAGTAACATTATAACAAACTCCATTTATAGAGTTATAAATAAAGGTGGGATTGGAACCCAACCCTCAGATGGTATTCAATCATTAGGTATCATAAAATATTAGAAAAAAAAAATAAAATAAAATAGAAATTGAACATGAATTATTATTATTAGTATTATATTAGTTTGGATTAGTTTTAGAATGAATTGTATAGTCATTGAAGTCACTTTGGAATTTGGGAGTTGGTCACAAGTGATAAGCACGAATACAAATATTATTATTTCTTTATGTTAATTGGGAATATTTTTATTCTACTATTATAATAATTAATGTATATATATATATATATATATATTTGAGTTGGACACGTTACACAGTTATATGGCCGGCTAGGATTAGATTAGCGTTATCCAAATTTATTTATTTATTTATTAATGATTTTGTCAAAAAGGACTATTGAAGAAATCTTGAGAATATATTATCGTATGTATATAGTTGAAGTAACGTCTCATAGACCGGGTTTGGCGTATTATCTGAGGTATGGCTTCTGGATATTCGGGTAGGTTAAATAGGATATCCAATATAATTTGATACGCTTTGGATATCAGTCAACTTCAGTTTCTACTTTCAAAGTACCAGGTAAGTATGTGTTTCAATGAAGTTTAGATTTTAAGTTATGGTCAAAGTAAAAAATTTTAAATTTTTATCATTCAAATTTAGGTTTATTTTTATTTTTGGATTATCATAAAAATATTGTGTTTCTTTTGATGAGTTTGGAAAAAAAATTGATTTGAGTTTGGTGTGAAAATAATGTTTGATGGGATGTTTCATAAAAAAAAAAAATGTATTTTTTTTCTTTCGAAAAATGCAAAGTCCAAATAGTAAAATTTGGGGAAGCTCGGCTAAAGAAATATACTTATTATTATTATTTTTTTATAGCAAAAAAGTATAGTATTCCATTGTTCCATATAAGAAGCAACATTTGAATTTCCATAAGGATAATTTAGGTGGGTAAAATAAAGTAAAAGTTAAATGATTTGATGAGATAGAAAAATATATATATCTTTTTTCTCAATGGTTTGATGATATAAAATGTATTAATTATTTCATATCTTTTAAAATATTGCAGTATACATGAGACAAACAAAAATAAAATATATTATAGAGTACGGAGGACGGATGAAGTATTTTTTGTCATTTTTATTATAAAAGACAAAATATAGCTATTATTATTCATTTTTATTAATATTCGTATTCAAATATTTGAACGTACAATTGAATGACACGGTAAAGATAATATAGATAAATATTAATATAATATTTTAAATATAATTAATATTTAATGTATAATATAAAAAATAAAATTTTAATTTGATACTTCCGTATCAGCTAAATTTATTCTTAATTTACCCCACTACTACATTTAAAAAAATCCAAAAAATCAATATTTAATTATTACCATTCATTCAACACTTTACAACAAATTCCAATTACATTTTCTTTTCATTCTTTTTAATTACTAACTAAATTTTTATACTTTTACAATAAAATATTCATTTTTCTTAATTTGCGTACTAATTTCAAATGAACTAATTTTTGCAGACCGAATAGAATATTTTTCTAAATAAAATAATAGTGAATAGTAAAATAAATTTCAACAAAACAAGCCTCAATATTCAACCATAAGTCCTTCAACATGTGCTCTTTTATTCATCTTCTTCACTTGTGCGTAACTTCATCAGGACACAAACGGAGATCCACTTGGGACTTTCAGTCCAAACTTATACTCAGATTCAAGTAAATATATGGAAAAAAACAAAACAAAACAAAAACAAATTTTCTTTATAATTTTTTGAATTTGCTGAAAATTTCTAATAATCTTAAAATTTCGTTAAACATACTCGTGATTATTAAAATATTGCAAAAAAAATCACTTTCCGTTAGGATTTATAGGTGGTTGCATCTCACACATCCAGAATACGATTTTTTTTTTTTTTTTTTTTTTTTTTTACAAAAGCTAATATATCACTGCATAAAATTACAAAGATACCCCAAATATTAAAAAAAATTATTTTTCTCTCATTCACTCTCCCTTACGCTATATCTTTGTCAATCAATCAACTTTGTTGCTTGGGATCTTCATCAGATCAGATATGTGGATTTTGAATTTGATTATTGGTGGCGGAAATGAGAGATTGATTTTGAGCTTGAGAAATGGAGATGGGATAGAGAAGAATGGAATTTTTAATTTAATTATTTGTGGTGGTAGAGAGGAGAAACTGGTTTTGAGGTTGAGAAACAGGGACGGGATGGAGAAGAGTATTTTGCAATACGATTTTATGAGAAAGGAAAGACTCGACGGTGGCGGAGAAGTAGCAGGGAGGGGGTCTAAGGTTGGAGCTCACCGGAGGTAGCCTTCCGAGTTCCGTCCACTCCTCGACTAAGACAAGTCGGTTTCAGGCGGAAGTTTCTGGACTCGAGCGGTGCACGGCATCAAAACGGCGGCTAGTGCACTAGACAGAGGAGGTCGCAGGCGGCGGGCGGGCGGCGATTGTCAACGGCGGCGCTGTGATTTTTATTTTTTTTTAGGAATTTTTTATATAGGTAAAATGATTAGTTTCAATGAAAAATGGAGTTGAACTCCCCATCCGAGGCATAAGAAGCCCAAGTTTACGACGAAGCAATAGTTAAAATGAAGATAACTGAAGAAAAACTCAAATCCTCTTAACCGAATCACACTCCAATGGTCGAATAATAGCTTGCAATTGATTGTGGAAAATGATACTTCTTCTTATTTAAGGCTCCATTAGGTGAGTCAATTTGTACTCTAGGGGGAGACACCATTGTTTTCCACAAGGCCAAAACCAGTCGATGTTGCCTCCTTATCATGCACCGGCCAATTCGGTATTCTCCATATTCTGAGCTTCAGGTTCCCTGGTAAGTTTGACCCCTAAGAAGCTTATTGATGAATCAAATCTAAGTTTTCTTTTGCATTTTGCCTTACATTCTCAATTAGCATCGTCGTTGCTCATTGTATTTGCTAGCTTGGGTGAAGAGAAATAATCTACTATTCAATTAATGGTACCAAATTTGTACTAGAGAGTATATCAAAACCATTTATTTGAACCATGCATCACCTATATTCAAAAAAAGAAAAAAAAAAAAAAAGAAAGAAGAATTAGGTGGTTAGGGAAGGAAAAACAAGATACGGAAGGGAGAGGAATAAATAAGAAACATAGGTGGGAAAGAAGAAGAATAAAGTGCAGAGAAGAAGACGTAGGTAATTGTATTTTAACTATACCCTAAAATTTCTAAGTATAAATAAGTAGACAGGGGCATAACAATTATTTTTTTGTAATAATTTAACGCCGTCAGTGCAGTTTAAAATGAGGTGGCGAGTGTGTAATATTTTTGAAATCACGAGTAGGTTTTATAAAATTTTAGAACCAAAAGAGTTTTTCAACAAATTCAAGAAATCACAAAAGAATTTGATGCTATTTTGCCAAATATATAATTCAATCCATACAAAAGCAAACCTCCAAAACGCACATATTAAGATGACAAAATGCAAAAGTATTTGTACATGCAAATTAACTATACTCCATACTAAAGAATGATTATCAAAATGCAGGTTCTATTACTTGTATTCCAACTTGGACAATTGCATCGAACAACCCCTTCAACCTAAATCTTAATCTTTAAAGCGAACAACTTCATTTTAATGCATTAACGATGGTAGTAATCTGTTAAATGATATGCTATTTGAAAGCCATGATGACAAATTTCTTGCGGGTATCATGTACAATGGTTTTTAACAGAGAAAACATCTATTGGCTGAGATGTCCATATTCAATTATCTACAAACAAAATATACACACATTGATCTGAAAGGAAATCCAATTGTTCTAATGATTTGGAAGTGGCCTCACTTGCACTTGGCCACCTCCATGCTGCCGCAACTTTTTTTTAGCTTTTAAAACAAAGCCATTTTGTATATTTTTTGGTTGAATTTGGAAAAAAAAAAAAAAAAAAAAACTATCTTTAAATAGTTAGTCATCTAAATTTAAGTCACTAGTTGACGTTAAGCATATATGAAACTTTACAGTAATATGGTGATCTTTTTGTTGGCAAAAAATTGGTTATAAATATAAATTTTAATATAATAAGAAAGAAAATCATATGTAAAAAACTGGCGTTTCGTTCATTGCAACAACTAATTTATTGTTGTTATTGGGTAAAGAAAGTTAATTTAGAGATTGCTCCAACGTACGACTTGTCCAAGACCAATTCATGGATGATATTTTTTGTTATATTTTTTTTCTACAAGAAAATATAGGGTGTGGTTGTTTCAGGGTTAGATTTTGAGTTGAGATTTGAATAGTAAAATTTTTGAATTTAAATAGTAGTATGATGTTATATAAATAGGTATTGATTTGATATTTTTGAATATAAAACTAATTTTTAATATAATATATAAAAAATTAGGTATTTAATTTGATATTTTTAGAGAATTTTTTTTGAGAAATAGTAGAAATTTGGGGAAATACCATAAACGAACACACCAGTATTAAATTAAGCTTGCTAATAAAGTAAATGTAATTAAAAAATATTATTCATAATTACCAAAGACTTGGGGCAGTTGATCCGGAATAAGGCGGGCCAAAATGTTGTCCATTGACCATTGTCGTTGCTGACAAAAA